GCCCCTCAAGGGCAAGAATTATTTTCTAGGACATCAACAGGCACGTGTTGTTTGTGATTAATAAATACTGGATGCCTGCGGATCACACTGGCTTCCTGAGTAGGAAGGTCAGCTCACCCAGATGAATGGGACAGGTTAAATATAGATGACCACTGCAATGAGCAGTAAGATCAAATCCTTCTGTAAGATGAAGACTGAACACCTAAAATAGCCAATTAAGTGTTTCTGGTAGACCTGGCTCCTTCAGGAAGCCACAGGGCATATCGGGTGCTAGGGATAATGGACAGGATCTTAATGGGGACATCATTTTCTTGGAAACCGCCCAGGTTTCTGCCTGACCTTCCCGGCATTACATGTGGACGGCACTGACAAGCAGCGAGAGGACTCCCCTTATTCACACGGGAGTCACATGCAGGAGTGCAGAGCACAGACCCCCAGGAGGGGTGGGCACAGGGCCACTGTGAAAAGGCAAACTGCATGGAGCAAAAGCCTGGCATTGTGCCCGGTGAACCACATCATACGGATCTATCTTGTTAACCGTGCCAAATAAAATGAAATGAAATATATTTAATTTGCAGATCATTAGAAAAATGTCTACATATATGTGTATACATAATATGCAACAAATATACACATGCATATAGAATATGGAATATATCTTTTTATTTTTTTCTGTGGAAGCAATGATCTGATTTTCTATCAAAGATTCCTTGACATAGCTGGGCATGGTGGCTCACGCCTGTAATCCCAGCACTTTGGGAGGCCGAGATGGGCAGATCATGAGGTCAGAAGATCGAGACCATCGTAACCAACAGGTGAAACCCCGTCTTTACTAAAAATACAAAAATTAGCTGGGCGTGGTGGCGCGTGCCTGTGATCCCAGCTACTCGGGAGGCTGAGGCAGGAGAATCGCTTGAACCAGGGAGATGGAGGATACAGTGAGTCAAGATCACGCCACTGCACTCCAGCCTGGCAACAGAGCAAGACTCCGTCTCAAAAAAAAAAAAAGATTCCTTGACATTATTCAGTACAATTAGGAAAAATTGTGGCAGAAGTTGGTATGCCATTTTTGGCTTTTTTTTTTTTCTCTCTCTTGAAATCTCAGATTAGAGAAAGAGATTGTTACGTCCTTGGTTTTAAGGTTCATTTCCTGCCCTGAAATGTGGGCTCTGCCTGTGCCTTTTCTGCTTTTCTCTAGGTTGTCACTAGAGGGCAGCATAGGCCCGTGTTGACAAGTCAGAGCTGCTTGATTTATGGACAGAGAACGGAGGGCAGGCACTGCCTCCTTGTGCCTTAGGAGCACAAAATTGTAATATCCACGGGATATCTTTATTTTACTAGCAATAGGATCTAAATAAAGTAGACTGATATGCAGGCCGACTTCTTATTAGAAATGGCAAACTTCACTGAATTAAGGATTCCAGAATCAAATTGCTGTTAGCCATGTGACGTTACCATCTCGCGTTGAAACACCGGAGGTGAGCCTCCCATTCCACCTCCTCTTTTATATTACTTAATGTGACTTGACTACATTTCTGTGAAGTCGAGGATGAGCAAATATTTGTACTTTTTTTTTTTTTTTTGAGATGGAGTCTTGCTCTGTCGCCCAGGCTGGAGTGCAGTGGCATGATCTCAGCTCACTGCAAGC